CAAACCCCCTGTTCACTTTGTAAATTTGAGATTTTCTATAATAGGAAGTGAAAAGCAAAACAAAACAAAAATTTTTGTCCTCATTTTACAAATGGGGACATTGGGGCAGAGCTCAGCGACTGCTACCAAATCTACCAACAAAACTAGCAAATCCTCTATGATCAGTGCTAAGACTGAGCATTATGTTCCATCCTTACTAAACACACTACTGAATATGCCCTAAATGATCAGGACCGGAAGTGGCCTTCTTGTTCTTATCCCATAACTCCTAGAATAGTTTCTCTAGAAACTTTGTAAAAAAAACTGAACACACAGTGGCCAGTGGCCAGAGAGAACTCCAAGGGCAGAGTGCTCTTGGCATGCTGGAGGCTCTAGATTGGTTCCCCTCAAGCATAGAGCCAGGAGTAATGCCCAAGCACCACTGGGTATAAGCCAAAAAGAATTTTTTTTAAAGAAAAGAAAAAACATAGAAATGAACAGTTATCAGGACTTATAAAAATAGCACTTCAGATGACAAGTGACGACATGCCAGAAAAACAGGTCTTTATCTCTATAAATCACCCCTATGGCCAGTCCTTGAAGTCTGGTCATTATCTCTAGAGATAGTCCAGAGAGCCCACAACAATCCTCCACACTGTTGGCCCCCAGAGGTCAGGATCTGATGGACCACTGACAGTTCCCCTCGCCCCCAACCACTTGTTTGTTCCTTCTTACAAGCTGGAGCCAACCAGAGAAGCCGAACCTGCTCTGCTTAAACAATCACTCCAACCAGCGCACCCCCACGCCCTCTCCAGAAAGGACCCTGATGAAACCCCCTTTTTCTTTTATTTTTATTAGTGAAACACCACAAGGTACAGTTGTAGACTTACAAATTTTTGTGCTTGGGTTTCGATTATACAATGATCAAATACCCATTCCTCCACCAGTACCCATTTTCCACCACCATGGATCCCAGTATCCCTTTCACCCCCATACCCCACCCTCCATCCCACCCTGCCTCTGTGGCAGGGCATTCCCTTTTGTTCTCTCTCTCCTTTTCGGTGTTGTGGTCTGCAAAAGAGGCATTTAGTGGCAATCATGTTCGGTCCATAGTCTACTTTCAGCACGCATCTCCCATCCTGGGAGGATCCTCCAAACACCCTTTATTTGGTGTTTCCTTCTCTATCTGAGCTCCCTTTTCCCCTAGCATGTGCAGCTGGCTTCCGAACCATGGAGTGAATCTCCTGCTACTTATCTCTGCTATTCTTGGGTGTTAGTCTCCTATTTTGTTACTTTATGTTCCCCAGATGAATGCAATCTTTCGATGTCTGTCCCTCTCTTTCTGACTCATTTCACTTAGCATGATACTTTCCATGTAATACCACTTGTATGTAAATTTCAGGACTTCATCTTTTCTTTTTTTTTCCCCTTTATTTTATTTTATTTTTTTTTAAAGTTGTAGATTTACAATTTTTTGTGCTTTGGTTTCAATTATACAATGATCAGATACCCATCCCTCCACCAGTGCCCATTTTCCACCACCATGGATAATATCCCTCCCACCCCCATCCCCCCATCCCCCCTGTCTCTGTGGCAGGGCAATCCCCTGTGTTCTCTCTCTCCTTTTGGGTGTTGTGGTCTGCAAAAGAGGCATTGAGTGGCAAACATGTTCAGTCCATAGTCTACTTTCGACATGCATCTCCCCTCCTGGAAGGATCCTCCAAACATCCTTTATTTGGTGCTCCCTTCTCTATCTGAACTGCCCTTTCCTCTAGGATACCCGGCTGGCCTCTAAGTTATGGAGTAATCCTCCTGGTGCTGATCTCAGCTATTCTTGGGTATTAATCTCATACTTTGTTACTTTATATCCCCCAGATGAATGCAATCTTTCTATGTCTATCCCTCTCTTTCTGACTCATTTCGCTTAGCATGATACTTTCCATATTGTACCACTTGTATGTAAATTTCATGACTTCATCTTTTCTAAGAGCTACATAGTACTCCATTGTGTAGATGTACCAAAGTTTCTTTAACCAGTCATCTGTTCTTGGGCATTCAGGTTTCTTCCAGTTTCTGGCTATTGTAAAGAGGGCTGCAATGAACAAACAAGTGCAGATGTCACTTCGACTATACATTTTTGCCTCTCTGGGATATATTCCCAGGAGTGGTATTGCTGGGTCAAATGGGAGCTCAATTTCTAATTTTTTGAGAATCGTCCATACTGTTTTCCAGAAGGGCTGAACCAGTGGACATTCCCACCAACAGTGAAGGAGTGTCCCTTTCTCGCCACATCCACGCCAGCATCGGTTGCTTTTGTTCTTTTGAATGTGGGCCAGTCTCTGAGGTGTGAGATGGTATCTCATTGTGGTTTTGATCTGCATCTCCCTGATGATTAATGATGTAGAGCATTTTCTCATGTGCTTTTTTGCCATTCGGATTTCTTCTTTGAGAAAGTTTCTGTTCATTTCATTGCCCCATTTTTGGATGGGGTTGGATGTTTTCTTCTTGTGGAGTTTAACCAGTATTTTGTATATCCTGGATATCAACCCCTTGTCAGATGTGTATTCGGTGAATATCCTTTCCCATTCTGTAGACTGTCTTTGTATTTTGGTCACTGTTTCTTTGGAGGTGCAGAAGCTTCTTAGTTTAAGATAGGACTTCATCTTTTCTAACAGCTACATAATACTCCATTGTGTAGATGTACCAAAGTTTCTTTAACCAGTCATCTGTTCTCAGGCACTCAGTTAAACCCCCCTTTTGCCACGGTGAAAATGACCCTTTTCAAAGGTGGAGAGAGACAGAGATAGAGAGACAGAGACAGAGAGACAGAGACAGAGAGAGACAGAGAGAGAGAGACAGATAGGAGAGGGTAGAAATTAAGGCTGTTGCCTTGCCTGTAACTACATATCTGCACACCTCTGAGAGTGACACCCAGCAAAGAGCTGGTAGTATACCCCAAGTAGCACTGGGTGTGGCCCCCAAACAGGCAACAGCCCACTATTTGTACCCCACTATAAATCTTTCCCTCTCCTTAGAGTCTGCCAACCCTCAAGAGCCAGTGGTTGGTTCCCTTGGTGTGGGTAGCTCAGAATAAGGAGCCTGTGTTCTTCCCACATGCCTTTGCTTACTTCCACATTTGACTCAAGGGGGGAAAGTGGGCAAGTAAACCCAGTTGGACAATGTCTACCTTTGTTCCAATGAGTGCATGTGCATATTGAAGAAAATCTTGATTTTTGCCCCGGTCTTCTTCTTTCATTTTTTTTTAATGTAGAGAATAAAAACCCACAAGGCCTGGGGGATAGTACAGCTTGTAAGGTGTTTGCCTTGCACTCGGCCAGCCAGAGTTTGATTCTTGGCACCAAATAGGGTTCCCCAAGTGGCTGCAGGAGTGACCCCTAAGTATGGTGTCAGAAATACTTCTGGGCACTGCTGGGAGTGGCCCAAAAGTCAAATGAATTAAAATAAATAAATTTCCAAAATCCACTCTTTTTTATATATGTAAGTACAGGGGTTGGGGACCTCCCAGCAGCTTGCCACTTGACCTGCTGGTGTGGACCTAATGTTTCAGTGCTCTGGAGTCATTCAAGCCATGCCCAGCAGTATTGGGCAAAGTGAACCATGTGACACATTGAACTCTGGGCCTCACAGGCAAGCCGTGTACCCCAGCCCTTTGAACTCTCTCCCTAGCCCCCAAGTACCACTCAACGTTTTAGCTAAAGGAAGTCAACCAGGAGAGGGCCATGGGGGGAGATTTCCTGTAGTGCTAAAATCTAACCCTGAAGCCAGAGGTGGATCTCACCTCTTTTAGCCACTGCTCCATCTCCAGGAGTTTTGGTTCATCTTGGGGAGGGAGGTTCATAGCAAAAGGTATTTTCTCTTAAAGAACACTTTCTGGGCTGGGGAATGCCTTTGGCTCAGGACATTCCTGTCAGAGCAGGAGAAGAAGAGTAAATGACACCAAGATGTGAAGAAAAATCAAATACAATACAACTCCCTGAAAGCCCTCAGTGGTTTGCTAAACTGCAGCCACCAGAAAGAAAATAAGAAGGAAGAGAAAGAAAAAAGGGTATAAAAGAAGAAAAGTCATCGTTCTGAAACTTGGGGAGCACAGCTGGTGTGATGGCTCAGAGTTCTGCATGGGGGAAGTGGTAAATGTCATCAGGTTCCCCAAAGGAGTAGGTGCTGCACGTTGCTCCAGCAACAGCCCAAGACTGTTTGTAAATCAAGAAGAGCAGTTTGGGGACCAGCGAGAAAACAGAGGGGAAAGCGCTCAGTACCTGGTACCACGCAGGCCCCCAAACACTGCAGGCACAGCCCTGGTCATCCTGAGCAATGCCAGCTGGGGTGACCCTGGTGATCCCCAGCACCCCAGGACCAGAGCAGAGTCATATCCTCAGGACCTGGCACTGAGACCCTGGCCCAAGCCCCTGAGTAGTAAGAAATAAGCACTACCTCTATCCCCTTGTCAAGTCCTTAACGGGTAAAGGTGGCTTCCAGGCAGAAGAATTGGGGGTTGGGGGACTGTGAGGAGGGGGTCCCAGAGTCACCAGGTCTCCTCCTGGAGAGACCTTGTTTCAGGGAGCTACACATGGTGCTCAAGGGCTGCCCCATAGGGGGGCCATGCAGTGCCACAGGCCCAACTGGGCACCCTGCCTGCAGGGCATGAGCTTAGTTAGCCCATTGAGCTCTCTCTCCTGCCTTTCCAAGGGACATAAATTTTACTTGGACATAAAAATTGATTCAGGAGAAGTGACTTAAACCAAATGAAATATCACTGATGGGAGGGAAATGGAGGCAATCAAGGTTGTATTTTTAAAGAAAAAAAATGAGTTTCCCAACTACTGCAGAGGTTATTGTCAAGACCAATGTGGCCACCAGGCTGAAGGCCTCCTCAGGAGCTGTGAGTTCCAGCTCCCAGGCCTGTGAGAAGCACCTAGAAAGGCTTCAGGAAGTGGGCGGATGGGGTGAGCACTAGTGGGAAAATATGGGCAAGCTTTTGACCCTCCAGATAGTGTTCATACTTGTTGGTCTAAGGGAACTTCTGCTAAGAAGTGAACAAGACACGATTATCAGACTCTGGCCTAAGATTAGGGTAAAGATAAACTTTCAGGACTGGCTAGGAATTAATACAAAAACCCCTACGTTTTTAGCACTTTGGCGTGCTGAAGCGATAGCACAGCGGCAGGGTGTTTGCCTTGCACGCAGCCAACATGGCCAACCCGAGTTCGATTCCTCCACCCCTCTCGGAGAGCTCTGCAAGCTACCGAGAGTATCTCACCCACACGGCAGAGCCTGGCAAGCTCCCCGTGACGCATTCGATATGCCAAACACAGTAACAACAAAGTCTCCAATGGAGACGTTACTGGGCCGGCTCGAGCAAATCAACGAACAACGGGAGGGGCCTTGTTTGATGTGGACTTGCTGGAATCACCATTGTGGAGCTCTCGTTGAATTCTCTTTTATTTTTGGTGTTGGGACTGTGAGAAAACAGCTGCATGTGGCAGAGCAAACCAGAGATACCTCCTTGAACCTTGGTCATTAGTCTCACTGCTCAAATTACATGAGGGGAACTTTCCTTCCCTGTGGCCTGAGCAAGGAGCAGTCAGCAGCAGAAGTGAAGGGGCCAAAACCCCAGTGCTCAGGTTCTGTCCCTGCCTTTGTACCCAGTGTCTTTAACTCACAGTTCAGAAGGTCAACTGGAGAGTTTAAAGTCTGAAGAGGTTATAAGTCCCTCTTCATGCCTGAAAGCAGATGGTGAGAGAGAATTAGGGGCCACCCATGTGGGACTGAGTTTTGTTTTTGTTTTGGGGTCATGCCTGGTGGTCTCAGGATTTTCTCCTGGCTCTGCACTCAGGGAATCACTCCTGATGGACTTGAGGGACATGTAGGGATTGAACCCAGTTCAGCTGCATGCAAGGCATGCCCCCCCCACACACACACACTATACTTAATGGCTCCAGCCCCAGGACTGAGTTGTTTAACCCCAGGCCCCCATCTTAATAACTGCATATCTATAGACACACTCTTGAGAGTATCTCTCTGGACCTCTGCTTTTTCTTCTGCAAAATGGAGATGAGAGCAGTAGTGGTGCTGACCTCCACAGCTATCCAGACTGAGAGATGAGGTATGCAGCGTGTTTAGTGTGGAGGGAATGGACAACCTGTGTCTCTGTCCTCATCCCCGTGATTCCCTGCTACACCCCAATGAAACACAGGCAGACTCAATTAGATAGATAGAGAGAGAGAGAGAGAGAATCTTTCCTTTCTGAAAGCTGAGGAATGGCTCATGGAGTGCACAAAATGCACACACCAACCCAGATGAGAGGGAGAGGAATGGACTGTTCCAAAGGCAGGGATGAGGCTTCCCAAATTTACACAAGTGAGTACATCCAGCAGCTTCACGGGGTCAGTAGGGCTGAATGCAGACCACACCAGCATAGTTGAAACTCCAGGCACCCTGCCCTTCAGTAAAGAAAACCACAGTAGCCAGCGAATCTTTTATTCACACAGATACACAGCAGGAGAATGTAGCTGGTTCAGAGCCCTTCAATGAAATGAGTGAAACTCAGCACACTATGTCTCTTCCTGTTCTCTTGCCTGCAAAGAGCCCAGCTCTGTGTGTAAGTCCATGGGCATGGGCTGAACCCCTGTTCCACTCATGTTCAGCCCCGTTGGGGTCAGGTAACAAGGGGCTTTTAGGATTCTATGAATTCTCCTCCTGTTTTGGGAAAGAGGAACCCAGTCTGTAGTAACAATAGAAGAATGCTCCTTAGTCAGACATTCAGAAAATAGAATTAGAGAAGAACGCCAAGCAGACAAAAAAAAAAAAGTGATCAGAATTAGAGGAAGAGGGTAGTGGGTTCAATGGCACAATTGGAGGCAGACAGCCAAATGCTCCCCACCCCAGTGGAGGGAATGGTGGTTAGGAAGTGCTCAGGACCTGGAACAGAGCTCGCTGAGAGTTTGATGAGGCTGCAACTGAAGTCAAGAGGATGGAGCACTGTCTTTGTTGGGTGACTGCTGAGAAGTCTGTGAAACACTCAAGGAATCAGATGGCCGGCAGAGCACATAGGCTTTGAGGATGCAGAAATAGGTGTCCTTGAACTTCTTTATTTTACAAGCATAGACTATGGGGTTCATCATGGAGTTGGCATGTGACAGGAGGATGCCCAAGTGTTGCACAACTTGTGGCACATCAACATTGAAGTAGAGGACACAATTGATGATGGACAAAGGCAACCAGGACAAAGCAAAAAGGAAGAGAATCAGAAACAAAGACTTGGCTGTCTTGAACTCCCGCCCGTAAAAGGCACCAGTCTCTCTAGAGCTGACATTCTGGCTGAGTCGGTTGCGAATGATGTAGAAGATGTCGAAGTAGATGGCGCACATCACCACCAGAGGGATGAAAATCCACGTAAAAAAGCTGAAGTAGACCATGTAGTCCATCCTCACCACAGATCGGAACTGGCACACAAGGGCAGTCTCATTGTTGCTTCTGCCCCCTGAGGAGTGTCTCATGTTCCAGCCAAACATGGGGGTGAGCCCCACCAGGAACGACAGCAGCCAGCAAAGGCCCAGGGCCAGCCATATTCTTCTCTGAGTAGTGACCCTCCGGTACCTGTTTGAATGGAAGAGAGTCTGTGAGTTCACAGCAGGAGCAGCTGGAAGGTTAGAAAATATTTTTCTGGGGGAGGAGGGAGAGATGGAGTGCACAGGTCCTCTACAGTGATGACTCCACCTAAAAGCTGCAGGAAGACCAGATATGCAGATGCCCATTGGAGAAAAACACATCTGACGTCTCTGGGAACTTCCTAGGAAGGGATGAGCTAGAATGCACCAGGAACATGAAGCCAGGAATTGGGTGCTTGCACGCCTCACTCATCTCCATTTCCAGCCCAACAAGGCTCCAGTTTCTGGAAGTTAAGAGTTATTTAGGGGATCCTGGGATGGTCAGCCTGGTGAGATATGAGCCCTGTCAAAACTTGTGCACCTGCTGTGCTCTGTGATGTTTTGTTGTGCTGTTGGGTTGATGACTGGAATTCGTACTGTGCATCTCCCACTAATCCCCCCACCTCTGTCTGTCCTTGTTTCTCTTTCCGCACATCCATTCACATTTGACTGTTTGAGTTTGATGTGTCTGTGATATTGCAAATATAAAGGCTGTGATGAAGCACTTCCAAGATCTAAAGAGATTCATCCAACAACAATTCCAATTTCACCTTCAACCATCCTTCCTGAAAATATCCTACACAATTAAAAGGAGGAAAATCATTTTGCCAGATGACAGCTCTGTACGCAATAACTCTTACCTCAGTTAATTCTTCCAACAAACTGGAGGTAGTTTTTAATCATAAACCCTATTCCATTGACAGTTGTGGTAAAAATAACTATGGTTATAAGTACTCTTTTTTCAGCACTTTTCTAAGAGCTTTACATGTGCCAGAATATTAAATATTCTAAAGAATGTGCATTTATTAAATCTCATTTTATTTGAATAATATTTTGGCAGTGTTGGGGATCAAACCCAGGTTTTTACTAGGCAAGGTACATGCTACACCACTGAGTTACATCTCAAGCCTTATAATCTACATTTTGGATGGGGTGGGGAATAAGTAACTGATCCATGCTAGAGTTGGAGGAACTCAGAGAGATAGGTCTGAGTTCAAAACATCTTAACCACTACAATGAAGGCTGAAACAGAGAGTGTTTATTTGACTTGCCCAAGGTCTGATTTCCTGATCTGAACTCGGGCTTTTTTGCATCAATTGTTTGTAGCTAAGGTGCACACAGCACTCAGAGAGAGAGAGGAAGGATGGATGGAGAGAGACAGACAGACAGACAGAAAGACAGAGAGACAAAGTCAGAGACAGGGACAGGAACAGGAATAAGACAGAGAAAGAAAGAAAGAAAGAAAGAAAGAAAGAAAGAAAGAAAGAAAGAAAGAAAGAAGAAAGAAAGAAAGAAAGGAGAGAGGAAGGAAGGAAGGAAGGAAGGAAGGAAGGAAGGAAGGAAGGAAGGAAGGAAGGAAGGAAGGAAGGAAGGATCCTGAGTGCAGGTGTCCAGAACACCTGGACATCTGTTTTTCTCCCTTTGGACATTTGTTCTGTTCACACAGTCAAACGAGAAGTTGTTGCTCATTTGTGCAACAGGGGCTGCTTCTTTTGCCCCTTCCTCAAAATGGAAGAGGAAGCAAAGCTAGAATAACTTAAAACTAACCTACATTTGCAAAGACTAGAACCAACAGTTTATGTCTTCTTTGCTGCTCCTTATTTCACCTAGTGGGTTTCTAATCATTTCTAAAACCCGAAGACTTTTCACTAATTAAAGTTGCATTAAGCTTTCATCATTTTTAGCTCCTGTGGGGAAAGCTAAAGTTGCCCGTAATCAGTGATGAAGGATTGTAGCATTATTCCTCTGTTTCAGCTCATCCTCATGGCTAATCTCACTCCTCACACCCTAAGAGGGGGAAAGTACCTCTCTTCAAGTTCAGAAACAATTGGGGTCTGTGTTCACTCAGAGGGACAGGGTGCCCTGTAGACCCATTTATCAGGCATCTCTATTACCACCACCTTCACCCCCATCCCCACCAGGTACCTCATGGTGAGTTTCACCCGTAGGTAACGGTCCACTGCAATGGCCAGCAAGGACATGATGGATGCGTGGGTGAAGATCAGCAGCAGGCAGGTCATGAGGAGGCAGTGGTAGAATTGAATTATGATGCCCAGGCTGACGACCACGGCCAAAGGCATCACCAGCATGCCCACCGCCATGTCAGCCAGGGCGAGGGAGATGATGAAATAGAAGGTTGTTGTCTGTAGGCTGGGGTTCAGCTTGATGACCCAGATGACCAGCACATTGCCCACGATGGCACAGAACCCAATGAGAATCTCCATGGTGATGTAGGTGATGGTGCTTAGAGCCAGGGCAGTGCTGTTGCCTGGCATCTTGCCTGGAGGAGCTTCCCAGGGCCAGGCTTGCCAACAGGGTCTGAGTCTAGCTCCTGTAAGGCATTTTGCCAGAGAGTCGAGGTGTAGTAGTAACGGCCCAAAGCTCACAACTCTCTGATATTCCTTCTCTCCAGCTTGAAGCTCCTTGAAGAGCTTGTGCTCCTTCCTGAGAAAGAATCCACTGCAGGACAATCACTTCCAGCACCACTGGTGGCAGCCACACTTGCCCCAGGTTCCTGGAAGCCTGGAGGGGAGTTTTATGTTGGTTGATTCTCAGTGTGCTGTATCTTGAAGTTCCCGAGAGATAAAGCTCAAAGCTTGAGTAACTGTCTTCCCCTGCCCCCTAAGGGCTACTCCAGCTCCATCAAGATAAGCAGCCCCCTTCAGGGGTGTTTCAGGAAGTGAGATGGTTCAAGAGGAAGCTCTGAGCCAGAACAGCTCAGCAAGAAAATGGAAAGAACCCAAGGGGGTGGGGAGAGGTGGGGGTAGTGTGGAAGGACCGTGCAGCGCTGGCTGGGAGAGAACTGGACGTCTTGGCTAGGTGATGCATGGCTTTGTGCGGGTTTAGCAGAAAGATCCCATGATAAGGGTCAAACAAAGGGAGTGCAAGGGAACATTATGTACTTCTGATGGTAGTACCTTTAACTTAGTCTGAACATGTTCTGTATCAGTGCATGCTGTACGTGGAATGTTCTGGTCTACTCCATACTCAGGTGGAGTATGGAGTACTCCCAAGTGATACCAGAGGGGGGTTTAGATGGGAAAACCCAGAGAATGTCCTTCCCCCATTCTGTCCTGTAAGAACGCAGCCAGAACTGGCTTGATGCAGACAGACTCTGTCTGAGTCCTAATCTTGGACTCCACCCCCCACAGAACTGAGAAGTACATTTCTATTGTTTCCAGACTGTGTTTATCGGCTGCAGCAGCTTGAGCATAAGGGCAAGGACTGGGGCTCTGTCACGTGGATTAACCCTTGGCAGAACATGAGTGGAACTTAGGCTTTTCCATCAGAGACCCCTGCTAGGAGTCTGTACTCAGAAGAACAAAGACACTCTGGCTTCCTTCACTGTCTTCCACCTTCTCTTCTCAACCCCCACAGCTACCGAGATGCCTACACACCAGCTCCCAGCCTGTGTCAAATCTTCCCAGGGTACAGGGTGGTAGGGCAAGCATCCCTGCAGAAAGAGGGAGAGCAAGAGGTGCATATCATCTTACCTCCCCTGTTTTCAGCTCACATCTCCACCTGCACCTGCAGGAGCAGAAGCCTGTTTTGGAGCCAGACCCTGGCCCCAAAGTGGCTCATTTCCAGGAACCAAATACAGTGACCCTGAATGCAATTATCATCATGGGGGGTTCACCTAGTTGAGGTGCTTCTCAGGGTCACCAAGGGGACTTGTTTCCAGAGGTAGCAAGAACAGGCAGTTGGAGCCAAGCCCACGTGTGGATTGAAGAGTTCATAAGCGTTCCCTTCAGTACCAGTCTGTGTAGAGCCCAAAGAAACATTCAACAACTGCTGCAATAGTGCTAGTTTGGTGTTGGCTAACTAACCCATCAGAATTGGTTTGTGTCTTCTGGACTGATGGTGCTTCTGTATCAGCCTCACTCACTGATCCCAGCTGTCGCCCAAGGGTGCTCAAATCTGTCTGTTCTGTCATTTTTTCTATCTTATTTTGTTGCAGGGCTGAGTGTGCCTGGGTGGGCAAGGCTGGGCTGCCCACAGTCAGCTGGTCTCTCCAGCCCTCAGAGCAGAGTCTGTCTGCACCCCTGGGCTTCCCTGCTCCACCTGCACTCCTTCCTGAGCCCACTTTCGTGCATTAAAGAGTGACCCTCTTTGTCTGCTGTCCCATTGCTCCAAATCGACCAAATAGACCCCATTCACATCCCACATCCCACACTTCTACCGTGGGGAAACTTGAAGAGCTTCTAGCAGGCTCCAACGTGGCCCCATCCTGGCATTCCTACCCATCAGCCCCTGTCTCTGTGCCAGAGAATAAAGTCATGGAGAGCAACACCGGGCAGGCTGTGTGTCAAGGAAAGAGTCTGTTAAGACTCTGTGGTGACTATCGAATCTTTGGGGGTGTACCATAAGAGTGGGTCCTTATGACCTCTTGCCTGATCCACAGACTGTGATAACCCCAGAACCTGAAGTGACACAGAGAGAGGATGACTCTGGTTACCTGTTGTGTGCAACTGTAAAGAGGAGTCCTGGTGGGGTTTGACAGCCCAGGGTCTGTCTCAAACGCAGACCTGGGGTGAGTGGCCAAGGATGAAATGAAGAGCAGAGGGGAGACATTTGGTCAAACACTGTCTCTCCCTGGAAGCCAGACCCCCTGCCCTTTCCTTAACACTCCGTCCACCCTCTCCTTCACCATCCATTTGGCACAAACTCTATGTGAGTCACTCAATGTGACAGTTTTGCTACAACTCTGCCCAGCCTTAGAAAAGTTCATAGGGTGGAAGGGTTTACCTTCAACCCCACACCCCACAAATCATGGTGGGGACCAGACAGCATCTGAAAAGGAGAGGCAAGCCTGGGTAGGCCCACCACCCTAGCCACCTGCCCCCATGGGGAACTGTTTCTGAATCCCCTGCACATTACTAGGACAATCCTGCTGTGGGAAGCAGGCATATCCTTCCTCTCTGGCTTATATGTAGAGTGAGTCTGTTGCTACTTGGGGATATGGCAGAGAAGGGCTTTGAGGGGAGAAGAAAGACTTTCTCAGCCACTTAGCATTTGGACCCAGGAAGGGGCGTGGTCTTGAGGGAAACTTTTGCCTTCTAGGTTGAAAACCAAAGAGCAGCTCAAGAAAAGAACCAGGTTGGACAGTCACTACATTTCCCCATTTCCCCTCTATAACCCACTGTACTATCCACCAAGTAACTTTCCTCATCACCTCTCATGTCAAGACCACATCCCCGAAGGTTCGCGCTGGCCCCCGACCCATGACCTCTAAGTGGCCTCGAACTCAAGTCCACAATCTCTGATGCTCAGCAGTGGGATCTCCCAGTTTCTGGAATCTCTGCAATTTCCTGCCACGTGGTCCCCGCAAAGCTTGGACAGCCCCTGAGCTAAACACACAGAGGCCCAGAGGACCTTCTCTTCCATTCTCTCTCCTGTGTGTACATTCTTCTCCACATGCCTCAATGTGCTTAGAAGCACAAGCACATTTTCTGCAAGACGATTTGCAATCAAGACCTTGACCAAACCTCCCCAGAACCAACCACCAAATCCTGTCAACTGCTGGGAGGCAGGGACCCCCAATTTTTATATCTGCATTTCTGGCCAATGCCTGGCAAGTAGTAAGTGTCCAGTCTACACATAAGAATGAGTAAAGAACATCTGTGGATTGTGGGTAGAAGGCTGTGAACTCAACGTGGGGACTGTAATGACACCAGCACAGCAGCTGGGGTCTGGAGCTCACTTTCTACTACACCCATTACTGTGGCAACATTTTGAATGTTCAGGTCTTGTTCAGCTCTTTGAAGCAACAGATACAATCATCTGTGCTAAAGCTCATGGCAGTGAAGCCACTTCTCCAGGGTTGTTGCCCAGCCCGGAAGTGGCAGTCCTGGTATTTAAACTCAGCGTCCCTGCTTCTGAGCCCAAGATTGGACCCACATCCTCTGGCATGCAAATGGGCCAGCGAAGGTTTCTCCATTGTGGGCTGTCCTGGGCTTGGTGTCACCACATTATCAGGAGGAGGTTCTAACCTCACACCCAGAAAGAAGGTGGGAATCAAAACGATAAGAAGAGAGAACAAACACTGCAACTCTGGCTTCAGGAGACTCAGGGAAGCCTTTGCACAGCTGAGCACTGGTGGGCTGAGGCCCTGACATCACAGCTTGGAGTCACCTAGAAAAATCTCGTTTTTATTGTTGTTTTGGGGCCACTCCTGGCAGTGCTCAGAGCTTGCTTCTGTCTCTGCACTCAGGGATCATTCCTGAAGGGCTCAAAGGACACTGTGAGTTGTCAGGTGCCATGCAATGCAAGCGCCCTGCCCACTGTACTCTCTGGCCCTCCAGAAAAACCTTTTGTCACATCAGGGACCAGAGAGTTTCTCTTAGCCATAAACTAAACATCAAGTGAGGGGTGGCTCTGGGGATTTTCCCATCTAAACAAAGGAGTGAAAAGCCTGGGCTGAATTCCAGGAAAAGCCACTGGTCAAAGGCCCCATGATCCTAAACCTGGTTGGAGTGTCCCTGGCTGTACAACAGCTGGACCCACTAGGCTATCCCCTGGCCATGGGGCGCTCTGCCTAGCACCTTGAACGGCTGGACAGAGACTTCCTGGAATCCTCTGAAGCTTCTCAGAGAAGCCTGGACACCCTCAGCAGACACAAGGCGCAGGGTACAGGGTCCCCTAGGCCGGCTGCTGAGACACAGCACCTGGCAGTGCAAGGTGGTGGCTTTTGCTCAGAGATTGCACTTGCTTCTGTGCTCGCTTCTTGCAGGGTTTCGCAAAATCAGTTTGCTCACTTCCTCTTGGCCCCACACCCTGCTTTAACTCCCTCCCTCTACATACACTCCAGGCCCCCCACCCCAGTCCTATTTTGAGAGAGTTTTTGACTTGCTAGCCAATAGCAGTGGCTTAGAAAACAGTGCCCAGAGGCACACCAGGAAGGTGGCTTGCCCTGAAACTCCCTCCATGAGCACTCCATCCTCTCACTCTCTGAGACGGGATGGAAGGGTAGGAGGGCTGAACTGCAGGCATTGTCCCCAGGGGACATTAGGCAGACTGGGGACTGGATCCAGGCCAGACCCAGTTTTTGGCCAAGGGGCACAGCTGTCTATACCCAAGCCTATGGTTTCAGTTCAAGAGACCTAGAGCTCCCGCTAGTACAGAAAGAAGAGCCAAGACCCCTCATTTCTGAGCAACAGGAAATCCTGCCCAGCAAAGGGGAACTGCACTGGAAGTCCACACCCACTCGCTCCGTGTGAGCCTGGGCCATCGGGAAGACTCTAGTGCGCTGTCCCTGCTAAATCGACAGTTCTCCCAGGGTTAGACCTTGGAGACTTCTGTCTGAGGTGCGGGCTACATGGCTCCGTAAGGCTTGCTTGGTATTGCGCCCAGGCTGGGATACTGTTCTCCGGAGTGACCAGCAGGGGGCAGCACGCTCCCACCGTCTCTC